TAATGATTCCCTGTGGGAGTGTCTAGCAATAATACTTTAGACATTGGGAGTCATGAATTATTTCTAATACTCAATGCACACTTTGGATAAGCCATGTATACTATTTTGAAATCTAGCATGTTACTTATTCTTTATATATTGAAAAATATATATATGGACTTTATATTATTCTATATGTTATTTTAAATAATTATTGTATACCAAAAAATTATCTTGGACTATCTTACAAAAAACAGTTTTTTATCAATTGTATTAGAATCAAATTTATAACTATCCCACTTTAAATTTAGTCACTTATGGTCATTGTTTTACTCTAATGCATTTGCAAATATGTCACATCTTTGAAAAGTTTGTGAAAAGGACTAATTTATTCTAAATTACAGGTTTCTAAACAGGTCATATTTTTAAACTAAATAAAAATTTATATAACTAAAAAATAACTTATTTTATAAAAATACTGACAATCAGGATAAACAAAAAAATGGATTCTGGGACTAACTGAACTAATTATTATTAGTTCATTATATTATTCTTATTATAATTATAATTATTATTCTTATGACTGTTTTAAATATTGCTAATTTTTAAATCTTTGTTTTCCAAATATAAGGAAAACTAAAAGCAGACATTCTGCATTATTATCAATGACTCATTAGTAAGGTTATAGGGACTGATAAATTAGTAACTTCATTTCACAATATGCTCCCAGAAGACAAAAACTTCAAAGTCCAGAACTTACAACCAGGAGAATTTTGTCCATTGAGAAAGACATTCATTAAAGATTCTCTCCAACAGTGTTGGAAGGGACCTATCCTTATCTAATGCCTAACAGCAAATGGATATATGCCACTGTCTCTGACACTAGCCTCCATTTACAGTGGAAATCAAAGACTTCTCAAGAACGAAAAGCCACTGACCACAGAGACAGACAGCTATCTCAAGACTTCAGTGAGGCCTGTATACTCACAAATCGATAATACTCAAACTTTATTCTTTTATCACCTAGTTATTATTAATTGAATATACATAACATGATTTTTATTATCCTCCTTATGGTTTCCTAGTGGAAATGACAGCTGTCTCCCCAGATGCCTTCCCTTATTAGATTTGAAAAAATTTAACTTGGATACCTGCTAATCTTTCCCACCTACTAAACAATAATATTCTAATTATCCATTATAGTAAAAAGTCTTAATTCATCTGAGCAAACATATCATAAAATACAAATGATAGTGACTAAAAAAGAAAAACAAAATTAGCTTAACAAAACATTATGATAAGCCCTGGCTGGTTTGGCTCAGCAGTTAGAGTGCTGGCCCATGGACCAATGAGTCTCGGGTTCGATTCCGGTCAAGGGCACATACCTCAGTTGCAGTTTGTCCCCGGCCCCGGTGGGGTCGTGCAGAAGGCAGCCAGTCGATGTGGCTCTATCACATCGATGTTTCTTTCTGTCTCTCTCTCTCTCCCTCCCTCCCACTCTATCTGATAATAGTAGAAAAATATCTTCAGGTGAGGAATAAAAAAAAACCACATTATAGTATATAGAAAAGGTTTTTTGGTTGACTGGAATACTTATTCCCCTCAGACCCTTCCTTGTCTAAGATCAGGCATTTTCTATTCCTAATTGATATAACAGTTATTGATATAACTGTTGCTTTTATTCCTGATATATAAATGTTATACTAAATACAGAAAAACAAAACTTAAACAACAAAAAAGACTTGAATCATGATAGCTCAAAAATTAAATATAATCCAAATTATTTTTTTCTTTTCTTTACTGATTTTAGAGAGAGAAGAAGGGAGAGGGAGAGAAAGCTAGAGACTTCAATGAGAGAGAATCAATTGGCCGTCACCTGCATGCCCCCCACTGGGGATTTGCCCCACAACCTGGGCATGTGCCCTGATCAGGAATAGAACCAGCAACCACTGGGCCACACCGCTGGGCCCAAAATATTTTTTAACAAGGACATATAGGATCTGATTGCCTCCAATTACCTGCCTTTTTATTTTGAATAATAATAATAATTCCATCTTGAATACCACCTAAGGTTATGGTCTTGCCCCATCCCCAGCAGTCTACCCTATGCAGCAAGACAAATACTAACACCAAGACTTCCTAAAAATGAACCTTCCTAGCATGGTGGAACCTCATTATCCAACCAGAAGGTTAGTCATCAATGCATCCTTTGGATTGATTTATGACCAAAAGGGGGACATGTGGACGAAAAGAGACCACATACTAAACCTGACAAGCTTAGGGGAGGCCTTCATGGCAGTCTTACAAACTCAGAAACCTAAAATAACCACACAAAATGGTCTGAAATTAAAACTTTTTAACTAAAAGCAGTTTATGATGAGTAGTCATGTCCTAGGCCAGCATCTTCCCTGACAAAGCTCATCTTTACCTTAACTAAACCTGTCTGTTGTCTTTTTGCTTCTACAATAACATAACTTTGGAATGTCAAAGTACTTCTCCTTTTTCCAAATCCCTCAAAACACAGGTACCACTCTGTGGAGATCCCAAATCTCCTCATTATTATTAAGTTAATTGTTGACTATTAAAATATCCAATACCCACCAATATAAAAAAAAAAAAAAAAAAGTCTGTCAATTTACTTTCTATCCAATCCCATAGGTTTCACCACTTTGCTTCCTCCCACCTCCCTAATCTATCACTGATAGATTTTATATAATCCACTTATGTTTCCTCTTTTAATTATCATATATAAAATAAGGTATAAACTGCCATTCTCCAGAGCATTATCTCAATCCATTAAAATTTTGCTTCCAGACAACTATCAACAGTTTAACTCAAATAAACTAAAAAATTCTTCACAGGTTTGAATATTTCTTATGTTGACAGAAGTCAAAAGCTAACTGCCCATTCATGATAGTAACTAATTGACAATGAACATTAACCTAAATAATAATGCTAATGCATGAAATTTACTACCCCCATTTCCTGTTTTCATGAGAAAATGAGAGGAATTCTAGGTATTAATATGTCATTACCCTTTATATTTTTCTCTTCTATTTACTTAAGAGAAAAAAAAAAAAAAGAAAAACCCAGCAGAAATTAAATTAGCCTTTACCATAATGGATTCTTTAAAGTTCCAACTTGACACATCCAAATCACTTTTCTCCTGTTCAACCAATTTTTTTTTTTTTAAAGCAGTAGCAAGAGAAAACATTCCACTAACACTCCTCTAGGGATAAAAGCTATATTATAATCCCCTTTTAAAATTATTACCATGTTTTATTTATTAAATCACAGTGTCAACATTTAGACTAAGAAAATGTCACTTCGTACCCTTAAGTATTTATTGTTTAAATACAAAACTTTCGTCTTTACAGAAATATACTGCAATACAAAGGACTACTCTGATAATTAACATGAGGATAGGGTTGTCACCTATACTTTTCAAACATCCATATACTTAGTATTTACAGGTAGATTAGCCCTTGCCGGGGTGACTTGGTTGGTTGGAGCATTGTCCTGTACACCAAAAAGTGGTGGGTTCAATTCCCGGTCCAGGCACATACCCAGGTTGTGGGTTTGGGGCATGGTCCTGGTGCCTGAGGGAGGCAACCATTCTGTGTCTCTCCCCGTCCTCCCTTTCTCTCTCTAAAATTTACTATAAACAAATAAAATAAAAGTAGACTGCATTCCTTCATGCCTGGTCTTTCTAAGATCCCAATAGAAATGTTAGAAATTATCTTTATTATAGGGTGCCAATTTTCATGTAATCTTCAAAATTACTCTTTTATTTATAACTTGAAAGAAAAAAAGATAAAATTCATACTTTCTAAAACATTTACTGAGAAAAGAATACCAACCTATAAGTTCCATTCATTCAACAAACATTTGAGTACTGTTAAAAAGAAAAGCCACAGGCCCAAAAAGGCTCACTCATGCTAAAAGCCCGATACCAAAGCTAGAGTAAATACCGAACCTAATTTTAGTTTCAGAATCTCCCCAGGAGTGTAATTTTAAACCAATCAGTCTGGAATTTCCTGATCCACACAAGTGAGGTGTTCTGACAGGTAAACTCCCCCATCACCTGTCCTTGCCTAACATAATCCACTCTTAACTTTTTAGTCCCACCTCCTTTCTGCCTATAAAAACATTCCATTTTGTGCAACCCCTCAGAGAACTCTACTAGTTGCTAGACAGGATGCTGTCCGATTCATGACTAGCTTAATAAAGCCAATTACATCTTTGAGTTTAATCAGTTGAATTGCAATTTTAACAGTACATACTGTATGCCAGAGACTGTGCCAGACATTAGGAATATATAGTTCCTACCATCAAGAAGCAACAACCAGAATTAAAGAAATTCAAATTAAAAGAGTAAACGCAATGCAAGCTACATTGTGCACCACTTTACTAATTGGAAAATTACAGTTAGACAAATTTGCATTTCAGATATTCCTAACGCCAAACGCACAGTACAGCAGTTCCCTGTCATAATTATATCTGTTTATCAGTAGGTAAGATTTTTCTGAGACGAAAAAGTTTCTTCTTCCCAGAGTCATTTGGCCTAGCATCCAAACCAGTTAACTAGCAAAAGAAACTGGGATGACTGTCCAATGAGCAATGCCAGGCTTGACTAATCTGTAGATAGACTTTAATCGCCTTAGGATAAGCAATCTCTTCTCTGTCAACTCAATAAATATTTACCTTTCCCTTTTTTCTTTTTACCATAGATTCTTAATGCAGTTCTTTAATCTAAAAAAAAAAAAAATTACTCTCATCTTATCTGGACTGTGCTAGCAGAAAGAGGAATCTGTCCACATCAGGGCCAAGTTAGGATTAGAGTACCCTTAGAATCCAGGCAAGGTGGTGGCTGAGAAAAACCAAGGAAGAGCCAGTGGGAACTGGGGAAAGCAAGAGGTTAAATCACTCGCATGGGAATATTTACCTCTATATCACTAAGCAATAGTAGTTTTATCAGGGCCATAGACACATTTTTAGGTCACTGGTCCATTTTCTCTCACCTTTAATACTGGAAAAAGATTGCATATGCCTTAGACAACAGCAGCAAAGTCATTGAGAATCTGAGTACTGGACTTGATATTCTCTCCCCAATAGCAACTGCTAGAGGAAAAAGCCCATGATTAGAATCTAGGTAAGTTTGGGTAGATATTTATGTTAAGGTTGTGGAAGAGAAAGTTTCACAATGCCAAACTACTATACAACCGTTTAGATCCAAAATAACAAGATGCTGACCTCTCTTCCTCAGAACCTTGTGGGGCAATGACTGTGGGCCCAAGGTACCAAGAAGGCAAACTCTCATAAAGTAATAAATAAAATCCAATGTATAAGTACACATTAAATCTATTTTCTAGCAAGATGCTTTCATAAATGCCTCTTTTAAGATAAAAAACATTCATACTGGGTTAATCACTCATTTTAGTTTATTATTTCTCAAACTGTAGTCATCCAAGTACCATTTTCAGAATTCTTACCATATCTGCACTCCACCTGTACTATCATCTACTTCACATGTCTTTCAACTGACCCCCCACCCCCACCCTTAGCAATAGTATTTGTTAAATCAGTTTTGCTGTGTTAGGTTTTTCTCCCAACTTAACAAATTAGAGAATTTGTAGGGTTTCATTCAAATACACGCATGTGAAAACTTTACAGAATTATTTTTTAAATGTTCATCTGCCTATCACACAAATTATCTTGCATATCTGATGGTACCAAAATTTGGTAAACATTACCTTGGTACCTATTTTATTAAAAGTGCTAACAGAGATCTGTGAGAATTGGGAGGGGGATTGTTATTTGTCAAGAAAGCTATGATGTGATGCACAGGGTAGGGACAAGACTGAATGAAAAGGGAAGTTCTTTACACAGCCACAGGTTAGCAGGAAGGCACTTAGGAAGAAGTTTGAAGAAAAAGGGAAAGGGTACCAAGGACAACTAGAATTTATTTTGCAGCTTGCTTCCTCCCCCAACCTCTCCAGCAGCCTTTGATACTCCTATCATAGGTGCTTGAACAGTATGTATAAGACCTCAGGCTCCAGAGTAGATATCCCCACATCTAGGAACAGGGCCCCCAACACATGCATAAATGTGTCAATCCCCAACATTTATGTAGCACCTCATAGTTCACAAACAGTGAGTAGGTATAGCCTTCATTTTACAGATGAGGAAATGAAGGCTCCCTTTCTCAATGTCACACTGCTAATACATGGCAGAACTGGTGCTTAAACCTAAGATGCTTCTACTTCTATATCACTGTGCTACACCAATCTCATAAAACCAACAAGGGCAAGAGATACAGAAACTATATAGCTACTCATTTTGAAATAATAAAAAGACCAGCTTACATTTTCTTTAAGAGGCTGTATAGTAGCCCTGGCCAGTTTAGCTCATCGGTTAGAGCATCAAGCCCGAAGACCAAAGAGTCTCGGGTTCAATTCCAGTCACAGGCATGTACCTCGGTTTTGGTTCCATCCAGGCCCTAGTCGGGGTCGTGCAGGAGGCAACCAGCCGATGTGCTTCTCTCACATCGATGTTTGTTTCCCTCCCTCCCTCCCACTCTATCTGAAGATAAATAAAAAAAGTTTCCTCAGGTGAGGATTAAAAAAGTAAAAGAGCCCTGGCCAGTTTGGCTCAGCGGTTAGAGCGTCAGCCTGCGGTCCAGAGAGACCCAGGTTCGGTTCCCGCTAAGGGCACGTACTTCGGTTGCAGTTTGTCCCCGGCCCTGGTTGGTCATGCGGGTGGCAGCCACTCGATGTGTCCCTTCACATCGATGTTTCTCTCTCTCTCTCCCTTCCTCTCTCTCCCTCCCACTCTATCTGTACAAAAAAATGGAAAAATATCCTCGGGTGAGGATAAAAAATAAAAATAAAAAAATAAAATAAAACAAAATAAAAGAGACTATAGTAGTTAACAGGATGGACTCTGTAACTAGATTGCCTGGGTTCATAAACTGGCTCCACCATATACTAACTATGCCTTTCTATATTCAATTTCCTCACCTGTAAATTGTGGCTACCTACAGTATATATATCTCATAGGTTTATTTTAAATATTCTAATAGTTTCTACCTTAGAGGAACATGCAAAAAACCTGAAGCATGCAAAGAACTTGAAAAGTGCAATCTTAAATGTTTGCTGTTATTATTATTTATTGACTGCCTCTATTTACCAGGCACTTTATACACATTACTTCATGTAAGTCTTCCAATAACCTGAGGCAGATAGTATCAGTTCCATTTTACCTTTGAGGAAATTCAAGCTCAGAAAGGTTAAGTAATGTATTCAGTCCCTAACTAAATTAGCAAATAACAGATTTAAACTCAGGCCTAACTCTAACCACCCTCTGAGGCATTGCCTCTCAACATATCCAAGCTTCTTACTCAACTACATGGAAAGGAAGGTCACAAACACCCTGTCCCGCTTCCTCCCCTTTTGACAGGAACTGGGCTTCTTTCATATACGGATATAAAATATATTTAGATTTTTTTTTAAAGCATACATCAAAAGCAGTACTAAACTGAGATCATGGGTTCTCAACATAGGAAATGCCCAGATGTCCCATTAACTTAGGGTATGGTCACAGATGTCAGATTCATTTACTGAACTATAACCTTCATATACCAGACATTGTAGGTACTGTTTAAGGTACTGCCTAACCTTATAAAAGTCATTCAAGGAGTTTTAAAAGTGACTGTTCCACCTGTTCGCTGGGATCCCAACATCTCCAGTTCGGTGGCTGACTCGTTAGCCCTGGGCTTTGCCTTGGCTGAGCAGGCACTGAAGGGGCTGGTTCCCAAGCTAGCCAACTACCCGCAGGTGGGTGACCCAGGAAACTACGGAGCACCCGAAAAGTCCCAAGCTGCTTTCACGGGCGGAGGGAGTCAGGCGAGCTGGGGCCCCGCCTCTTATTCTGAAGCTCTCTTCCATCTGTCCAGCCAATGCTCAGGTCTCTGTGCCCCACTTTTCTCAAAATGCCACTAACAGGGTCTTATATGAGGTTTCCGAGAGCCGACGCGGGCAAATCTCCGAACTCAAGGCTCATTCAGTCCCCACAAAACGCAAAGTTAGCCACTGGTTCAAATCCCACCCCGCCTAAAAGAAACAGACTGCCACGTCAAGCTCCCTGGGGCACCCAAGCAGCCTAGGAGGGTCACAGTGTCTCCGACACCTGGGCGCCAGGGGACGCCCTCCGCCGCGGACAGCCCACCGAGACCGTCCCCGCCCGTCGGCCCCTTGCCTCGGCTGCCCCATGCCCATGGAAGGTCAGCCGAGGGGCCCCCGCGGCCCGCGCTGCCCCGACCAGCTCGCAAGTCGAAGGGGACAAAAGGGGACGAAATCCCCGCAATCCCGCCCCTCCCGAGCTCCGAGGTTCCAACGACACCTGGCTCCCGCCCCCACGGCACAGGCTTGGTTCCGGCCCTGGAATAGGTCTGCAGACACGAAGGAAAGGGCCAGGGCCGTGGCAGGCGGCGGGGACACTGAGGGGAGCGGCCGACCAGCGGGTTGAGCGACCCGAAGAGGAAAGAAACGAAGACTGGGAGGGGCCAGTCACTACCTGTCGAGCCGGGACCAGCCGCTCCGAGTGACGCGGCCCGCAGTGCATTGTGGGGTCGGGGCGTGGCCTTTCGGCGGGGCAGCCCGGCACCCGACGTGGCTGGCGCCCAGCGGGATCAAGCCCGGCCCCCATCCCTCAGCTCTCCCGGGCCAATCGGGTTCTGTGGGAAGGCCACACTGCCCCGCCCCCTCCAGGACAGATTGGCAGTTTTTAACTCACCTGCGCCAAGAGATTGCGAGTTTGTGTACTGACCGACTGTGCGGTCCCTCACAGATAACGCGAGTCTCTTCCGCCTGCTGCCTGTCCCGGAGGCATTTTGTTTCTCATGCGGCCCTTATTCAAGGAGTCGGAAGAAAAAGCCTCTTCTGAGGGAGCGAGAACAGTTCCTGCCCAATCTACCACCACACTCCAAGAGGCACCTAACCTTGGCAGAGAAATAAATGCCAGATGCTGGCTCTGTGGCCCCTCCCAGCCTTTGCACCTGCCATGCATGATAAAACAAGCATTTACTGATTATTTGCCATGTGCCAAGCACGGTGTTAGGCATTGGGTTACAGGAGTGAACATAACACTGGGTGGAATCTGAAGTGTAGTAGCAACAAGAGACGTTAAGGCGTAAATCATTGTATGATTGATTATAAATTGTGATCAGTATTATGAAGGAAAATTAGTAGGTGTGATGATGAATTAATTCTGGACTGTCAGGGAAAAGCCCTTTGAAGAAGTGCCTTTTAAGCTCCAGGCATATGAAATGGCCTTAAAGAATGGTAAAGGTCAAGGGAATATTGTGTGTGAGGTTTGGGGGGCATGAGAGAACTTGTGTGTGCTCTAGGAACTGAAAAGAAGTCAGTGTGGTTGGGGTTAGGCAGCATGTTTGGGCTGAGGTGAAGCAAAAGCCAGACCATGCAGGCTCTTATTGGCCACATTGTAGACTGTATTTTGGAGTGTATCCTGAGGTAAAGGGCAGCTAATGGAGATCTGATTTACATATTTAAAAGCTCACTCTCGCTGCTTGTGGGTAGTAATTTGGAAGAGGGCAAGAGGGATTGCTGGAAGGCCAGTTTGGAGGCAACTGCGTTAGTCAAGGCCAGAGATGATGTTGGCTTGAACCAGGGTAATGGCACTAGAGATACAAAGAGATAATGTTGAGACATGTATAGGTCAGAGGTGGAATCCAAGGAACTTAATGGATTGGTTTACTGAAAAGGGTAAAGAAAAGAGGAGCATTACGGATGACTCCTTAAGTAACTTAGATGGGTTAAGAAGCCATTTACTGATTTAGGGAACACACAAGGAAGAGAAAATGGTTAGGCTATGTTAAATTTGAGGTGCTTATAAATGGAAACATCAAACAAATTTGGATATGTAAGTCTGGAATTCAGAAGAAATGTCTGGACTAATTATATAAATTTAGTGGTTGTTGGAGTGGGTTAACCCAGCCCTCCAACTCCTAGATGTATATGCAACAGAAATGTATCCATATGTTCACCAAAAGACATATCTAAGAATGTTCATAGGATGAATAAATTTTAGAATATTCAC